GAAGCTAATTAACGTGTGCTCAATAGCTGCCGATGTGAACTTTGAGCGATCAAGTAAGACTTCAATATCTTGGAATTGTATTTAATTTACTACAAAAAATTTTAAGTGTGCTCATTGATTTAGATAATGATAATACTTAATCTAACATATATAAGTGTACTCGGGCTATGAATTAGAACTAGTTTAGAATTATCAGAATATGGTTTTTCATTTATTTTTTTTGTGAGTTCTGAGATTATTGTTATACAAAATTTTGTTTTCATGCCAAAAATAAATAAATTATCATTTACCATAATAAGCTTCTGAAACACAAGCGCCGATCGGAAGGGAATCTATACACGTTAATTAGCTTCTAGAAGACAAATATTTTATTACCATTATTATTAGTAGTAGTAGTACTTCTTTTTGTCCTTAGGTTAAGGATATCAAATAGGAAAAGTATGAAACTTTAAACTGGCCTTTTTAGCTTTATCTTTAAATAAAGTAAACAAACGGGGCCCATAAGTCCAATTGTCAAATAATAAAGAGCATCGTACGAGTATGATGTGCCATGTGAAACATAAATTAGCACTCGCCTATATGCGCGGACACTAATCATGTCAAATATTTGAGTTATTTGGATTATATATAAATAATCTTATAATTTAAATATTCTCGATAAATATAGATAATCATTGAATATTAATTAAGAAACACTAAATAAAAAATATTAACCATTTCTCAAATCTCCTAATTATAATTCTATTTTTCTTTTGAGTACAATTCTTGTTGGTGTCATTGAATCTCAAAAATAGTAAGAAATTAAAATAATAACTCATACTTATGGCAAAACAATCAAAGGTTGAGACTATGAAGGACACATTGGATACGACTTGCCTCTTTTACTATTACTTGAACTCTTATTTGGTGTGTTAATATCTTTCAAAACATATTTTTATTTTAAAATTTCAGTTTCTAAAACTTTATTTGTCAATAATAATTATTTTTATAATAATGTAAGTGAAAATATTATCCTTAATTCAAAACTCATTTTAGTACTCGGCTATCTAAAAAAATTTAAAAACAAAAATTTAGCCAATGAATTTTTTTTCAGTATGACTCTATTTTGATATTTGACATTAACCATTAAATATCTATGTTATTTGAATTATATGTAAATAGCCTTAAAATTTAAACCTTCTAAATAATTATAGATAATCATTAGTTATTAATTAAGAAACGCTACATGAAAAAAGGCTAACATTTTTTTCTAATCTCGTATTGATAATTTATTTTTGCATCATTCTCATTGGTGTCATTGGAACCTAAAGTTTCACAAAGTAAAATAATAACTCGTATTTATGGCAAAGCACAAAGGTTGACACAATATGAAAGATTCTTTGGTAACGACACGACTCTTTTACTACGACTTGAACTCTTATTTGGTATGTTATTATTTTTTAAAAAAGTATTTATATTTTAAATTTCAATCTCTAAAACTTTATATATTTCAATAATGATTATCTTTATGATGATGCAAGTGAAAATATTATCCTTAATTTAAAATTCACTTTAATCAACTATCTAAAAATTTAAATGATTCTTTAGTCGGTAAAACTTTATTTCAGTATGATTCCATTTTGAGTTTATCGATATCTCTAGCCACAGATTTTGAATTTTGAATATCATATATATATAAATTTTTAAAAATACTTTTTGTTACGCTTGAAAATCGTTATAGAAACTATCATTTAAAAATCAATATCTCTCTTTTTGAATTCGAGAAAAAAAACCTTTCATATAATCTAATGATTCAAAACTAATATTCTTTAATGAAAAAAATATTATACCCTTGCAATGTTGGCGTGAACCAGTGTTAAAAGAAATTCACTATTTTGTTAAAAGAAATTCACTTTATTCAAATCTAACTATAGTGTTTTAAAGAACTATAATTATATGGTTTTAAATATGAAATGATTTTATAGTTATATGTATTTTTTTTTATGCCAAAGGCAAAGTAGTATTTAAATAATTAGAAAAGATAACAAAAGCTTCTAACATGACTACACATGATCATTAACCGAATTAAGTATGATAACAAAATATTTATTTTTAATTTTAATTCAAATTAAAAAACTTTATCTATAAATTCAAAATTATCCTTTAGTTCAAAACTAACTTTTTTCTCAAATCTCGCAGTGATAATTTTATTTTTGCCCCATTCTCATCGGTTTCATTGGAACCTAAAAATAGCCACAAAGCGAAATAATAAGTATTTATGAAAAAGCACAAAGGTTGACACAATATGAACGATTCTTTGGTTACGACGCGACTCTTTTACTACGACTTGAACTCTTATTTGGTATGTTATTATGTTTTTAAAAAAGTGTTTCTATTTTGAAATTTCAATTTCTAAAACTTTATATATATTTCAATGATAATTATCTTTATAATGATGCAAGTGAAGATATTATCCTTAATTTAAAATTCACTTTAATCGACTATCTAAAAAATTAAATGATTCTTTATCCGGTAAAACTTTATTTCAGTATGACTCCATTTTGAGTTTATCGATATCTCTAGCCACAAATTTTGAATTTTGAATACCCAATATATACATATATTTTTGTTCTTTGAATCGTTAAATATTAAATTAGTTGATTGTTATTATATAACATTACATATATTGTCTTAAAATTGCCAAGTATTTTTTCTCGACACCATATTTGGTTTAACCTCATGGCAAACTACTCAAATTGTATTTAAATTCAAATTTGAATATCATAGCAGTTTGTTAGTAATAGTAATTTTTTTTTTAAAATGACACACAGTGTAAATTAAAAAATATATATTATGGGATATCCTTATCTTATAATCTATGTATTTGAGTTGAAAATAATATTTGAAATCGATGAGATCAGCTTCCAAATTTTTATACTCAATAAAGATGAAACATAAGAAGAAATGCGTTGTCATCTGTTATTTCTGGCTTTTAGATTTTTCATATATTTTTTCCATATTTATTTTCTTTTATCTAATTTTTGCTATCTTTCTTTCTTTTGTTACAAAAAAAAATTAATTTATTTCACTATAAAAGGATGAGTTTTAATTGAAATTGTCTACATAAGTACTTTATTTATATTTTAGTCTTTGGTTGAAATTCTTTCATATTTTTATTTTGGCTCTATCTAATCAACCTAAATGGGTGTTCGCCAAACCACTTAAATTAAAAAATCGAATGATGTGTAACTTATATATAATCCATATATAATATGTGTATAATTATGTGTTGTCGATATATCATCTATGTATATTAGCTATAAAAAAATAATTAATTTGGCCGGATATTTATGTAAATATTCCATAAGATTTTGTTTTTATTTTATTTTATCCATGATATGACTTCTATTATAATAATTGTAAAAACTCTCTACTAAAATTGAAAAATATCTTATCTTTTTATTTTTAAAATTACATTATATTTAAAAAATAATCCATTTCAAAATAATTTGTTTATATATTTTTTTAAAAAAATTCACTGTCATACCATTTTTTTTTAAATATACTTTATGTTACACTTGAAAACCGCTATAGAAAATATCAATTAGAAAACCAATATCTCTCTTGTTGAATTCGAGAAAAAAACCTTTCACATAATCTAAATTCTTCAACGACACCGAGGGGAACTCAGTCCAGAGAAGAAAGCGTCAGTTAGGAAAGAGTCAAAAAAATATTATAGCCTTGCTATGTTGGCTTGACTGCAGCTAAATGAAGATGTTTCAGCTTATACCCTTCAATTTCCTGAATGTGCTAAATTAAAATATATGATAGCAATTGTATAGCCAACGTTTTATTTTTTGTTTGATGTCCATTTATACAAATTGACTCTTCAAACAAACATTCTTCAAAAAGGAAAAAAATAATTATTTTTTAATATCGACTGATTTTTGTGATGTTTCTTTCTCCAGCATGTAGGTTTATTTTATTATATATGTAAGTAAACTTTTATTCGATTTTTAATTTTTTTTTATCTGCAAAACATAGACGTGTAGCCTATATATTACATTTATTTTAAAAGAAATTCGCCTATTCAAATCTAGCTATAGTGTTTTAAAGAACTATAATTATAGGGTTTTAAATGTGAAAGGATTTNGCAACATTTTAAACAGCACAACTAAACATGCTACTGGTGCGAATAACCTCACCCCTTGAAATGAACATTACTTCTAATGAAAAACATTAAAAAGATTTTATTTGCTGTTTTACAAATTGTTTTTTAGTAATATTAATACTTAATTGAAGCTCGTCTTCTCTCATGCTTTCAGCTCACGTTAGCTAAACGTGCGCTGGTTGCGTCCGTCATGGGAAGGAGGCGAGGTAGAGAAAGACCAAAAAAAGTTCCTAAAACGCCGATCTCAACAATTGGAAGCTCAATTAGTAACAATTCTAAAGCTGGAAAGGTAATTCAAGGGCAAGGTCATGAGCTGAAAATGCCATAACAACAAGGATTAGTTATGACCGGAAGTGATGAGATTACTCCTTCGACTAGCTCGGAGGTTAACAGGAAATTGACTCTAAGTATACCAGCTCAAATTGATCAAAGTGAAGCGAGTGTTAATCCCATGGTTGACGGAAACTCTAATGGAACAGTAACTGATGTAGCAACCCCTTTGGGAGGATGCTACTTACGAAACAAATCTAATTTACTACTTACAACATTAAGAAGATATTAATTAAAAAATATTCAGAATAATTTAGTAGCGGAAATAGGCCCATGCGATGAGGTTCAAAATGCAATATTTTTATTTTCGAAAATACTCTTCATAATTTTTATTTTATTTTTTTAAAATAAAATACAATGTCAAAATTTCAACATAAGGTGATATAACCCTTCTTGAATAATCAACACGTTAAAGCAACTTCCTAACAAAATTATACTTTCTTTCGACATCACTGCAAGTTTGTATTGTACATAAATTTCAAACTATCGGGTATAAAAAGGAAAACTAGTTTTCTCCTTTGTACATATATATAAGACAAAGTGTAAATTTAACATATTACAAGACTTGAGTTATTAACACACCTTAAAACAGCAAAATAAGTTACCAAATTCAAGTTACAAGATTTTGGTCTTAATATCCAAGCCTCCAAATAATATACATAAGAATGACATATATATCATGTACAAGTCCCAAAACTATACAAAACCATGGTGCATATGCAAATGTGATCTCTATAAGTGCTCCCAAAAAGACTACTTCATAAGGCCGTCTTCAAATTCCATCCCGTACATTACCTACGATAGAAAATAACTATCGCTAAGCATAAAGCTTAGTGGCGTATAAACTTTGGGGGCTTGGAGCCATTAATTTCTCCAATTCTCATTTTTAGTCATAGGTAGCTCAAATGACATATAATTTAAAACAAGTAAATAAATATATCAAAAGTATCAAATATCAATCCTAGAAGTGTTTCCAATTATCAATAACTATGTTCAAGATTCAAGAGTTGAGAAAGTGTATACTATCAATCCAAGAAAGCTTGTCAAAAATATATTTTTTCGCCCAATATGTACGTCATGTCATCACACTAAGCAAAATCAGATATCAAGATGGACCAAAATCCAAAATCAAGTAGGGTCAAAACCAACAGTCAAGAGAATCAAGAACTATATTAAAAATGGCTTCCTAGTTCGTACTTAATACGGACAAGTTCCATAATTTAAGATGAACTACAAATCCAAAGTCAAGATGGTAAAAGATCCAAATCAAGAGGCATGCCAAGATGAGTGACAACGTCACTGCCACAAGAAGGACAAAGTCCCAACAAGAATGCAAAATGATCAAACAATCCGTACGAGTGGGCGATTTAGCAAATATCTTGCAATACTTGATATAACACGAATACAATGCTATTAATTGAAGAGAAAAAAATAAAATATCAGGTTATTTTAAAATATTTCAGCAAGTAAAGAGAGTACAAAGTTTATACACAAATCTTGGTATTTTATCACAAAATAGTTCAACCACAACTTGAGGACGTTCGAATCGTCTACGACCTAGACAAACTAAATCCGTCCACTTCCTCAAACACTTCTCCTTAGATTTTATAAGGATGTATATACCTTAAATACATAATAAAATATCTATATAATTTTAGTAATTTAACATGTCAAACTAAATATGATATTGGTAAAAATTACAAAAAATGTTTGAAACAGAAATTCTGGACAGTATCACTGTCTCGTGTTGTGACTCAGATTTGAAGATTAAAAAGGACAAACTAGACTATGTGGTCTTCTTTACAGTTGTAGATATGTGTCTTAGAGTTTCAGAACATCTTGAATTACCCCCATGTCAATTTTGTACAAAAAGTTATGCTAAACTTACTAACAGTAGTACAAGGAGGGTTTGTAAAATAGAAAATCTGGGCAGCACCTGCCCTGTACTTCATCACCTATATTCGGGTAAATAAAGGACAAATCAGATTTTGATTCCTTCATAAGAGTTATATATCTATGAAATAGATTTTCAGAAAGTCCTAGATCACTTAAAACGGATCTCTATACAACAAGATATGAAGAAAACACTAATAGCTATCTAGTGTAAAAACGAGTTTAGTATCTTACCACAAAATAGATGAGCAACTTGAGTTTCACCAAGAACGAATTTTGCTGGTTGGTTTATTGAAAATTTATGGTGGTTTCCATGAAGTTTTCAGGTGATAAAAGGAGAGATGGTAGGGGTGTTTTTCCTTTTCTTGAAAGAATAAAAATGGGGAGTTTATGGAAGACTAAGTCAATCAAAGTTGTCTTTAAAATTTTTGGATAAATATGAAATAAAAATGGCTGCCCTACTACTAAATATCCTTAGATAAATACAAAAGAGCGACAATCCAAAAACTTAATTATAATGTATTTAACAATAATTCATCAAAATAATATTAAGTGTTACGCATAGCCGCACCATGGAACTTCTTTGTCAGTATTAACATAACCTAGAGTAAGAAATTTTTATGTATTGTAAATTTCACGCTTAGGAAGTGCGAAGTTAAAATATTTTCTCATTATAAAGATGCTCAATCGAAAATATAAATATTAGTAAAAATTTGGGGTGTTACAACTGAGCTGAACACTAAGGACATGCAGGAGGAGCTAGGCAAAGAGGCTACGGTAGATCAAATTGAAGCTACTATGGGAGCTATTGAGCAGGTGGCTCTGGACTCTAAGGTGGTGAATCCTGTAGATTGAAAAACAGAGCCAAAAACATGGACCAAATTGTTTCAGCAAAATCGAGTAGCTACTCATAGAATGGCTCTCAGGTATGTTCCTCCTCAGATTATAGAAGGTCAAACTGTGGTGAAACTAGATTTGCAAGATGTGAAAGAAGCAGAAGAGAGATAGAGTGCTGCGTTGATAACCTATATTGTAGGTGATAATCCTGGATATAATGCTATGAGGAGGTATATTGCTCAGCATTGACTTGATGTTGCTGAGCCAGATCTATTTCTTCATGAGGATGGATATTATGTGATAAAATTTCAAAACCTAACTGATATACATCGAGTGTTTTATGCCGGGCCTCATTCTATCAGAAATAGACCAATAATCCTCAAGCCATAGTCTCTAGATTTTGATCTAAGTAAAGAGTTTCTATCTGATATACCACTGAGGGTGATTTTTCCTAAATTGCCAATGAGTTGCTGGGTAGTGATGCCTTGAGCAAAATTGCTAGTGCTATTGGAAAACCCCTATTTGCTGATGAGTGCACCACTAAACAAACACGAATTTTCTATGCAAGAATGCTGATTGAAGTGAATGTTACAAAAGCAATGCCTACCGAGATTATGGTGATGGATCCTAGAGGAAGGGTATTTCAACAGGACTTGGTGTATGAGTGGAAGCCAGTATACTGTGACAAATGCCAGGTTATTGGTCATGTGTGTCGTACTCAATAAGGGCCAAGAGAACATAATGAAGAGCAACTAAAGAGAAGAAGAGAAACAAAGAAAGTAACATATGAATGGAGGACTAAAGGTCCTATCACTAATGCAGCATGTAACATAAAAAATGTGCAGAAAGAAGCAAGTGGTATAGAGATCTATAAGACAGATGAAGTAACTGATAAGTAAAATGGGATTGTCTAGGAGAAAACTCAACACTGTTTACCAGTGGAGACAAGGCAGTCCAATCATAATCAAAGTGAAGGAGGCATAGAGAACAATGGAGCGGCTGCAATAGACAAAGGCAAGAAGCAAGTGTTAGATTTTAGCCTTGAAAATTTTCCTATGCTAACACCTTTGTCTAGTAAAAATGGATCTAAAATTGGAACAATAGTTCCTAGTGGGAGCTTTACCTTGCCTCATGATAGGGGTGGGGGAATTAACTCAATCAATGAAGTGGTTACTATGGAATGTCAGGGGTATTAATAAGTGGTATAAGAGGAAGGAGCTGAAAAACTACTTGAAGACCAAAAACATCAAATTTGCAGGTATGATTGAAACTAGAGTAAAGGAGCAGAAAGCTAAAGGAGTCAGCCACCACATTGCCCCTGGCTGGGAGATACTATACAATTACAATGTTGCAGTAAATGGAAGAATATGGGTGATATGGGATACTAGTTACTACTCAGTCAAGTTAATCAAGGCAGAAGCACATGTTATCCATTGTGTTGTTAAAGACATCAGGAAGGACCACGAGTATGCAGTATCAATAGTCTATGGATTTAACGCAGTAGAAAAAAGGAAGCAGTTATGGGAAAACCTGATAGAGATAGATCAAATGACATCCATTCCATGGGTGATTGGGGGGATTTTAATGATGTCCTACAATTGCAAGATAGGATGCATGGAAATCCAGTTACTATGGCTGAAACTCAAGACTTCAGCAGGTGTATACAAGACCTAAGACTTAGTGAATTGACTTGGGAAGGTGAGTACTATACATGGTCTAATAAACAAGATGGCTGTGACAGGATATGGAGCAGAATTGGCAAGATTTTTGGCAATTATGAATGGATGATGCAATGGAGGCATATTTCTACTGTATATAAGATGCCTTTCATTTCTGATGATGCACCTATGAGCTTAACTTTCAATGATAATCAAAGAAGCAGGAAAACTCCATTCAATTTCTTTAATGTCTGGGCAGACCATGAGAGGTTCTTAACTGATGTTCAGCAAATTTGGCAATAAAGATTTCACAGGTAGAAGATCCAAGATGTGTGGATGAAACTCAAAGCATTAAGGCCAGTACTGAGAAAGCTTAATGTTGAGGAGTTTAAGTTCATTAGACAAAAGATAGAGATAGCCAGAATTGAACTTGAAAAGGTACAAAGAAGCATTGATACAAACTGCTCTGTTGAGATGTTGCTGAAGGAAAATGAGATGGTACAAAATCTGGAAAAGTGGGATATGATTGAAGAAGGAATTCTGAAACAAAAAGCTAGAGCAAAGTGGATACAGCTAGGTGATTCCAATACTAAATATTTCTCAGATGTCATGAAAGAAAGGAGCCAAAGGAAGCAAATATTAGAGCTGCATTCTATCACTGGTAACAGAATAACTGACTCAGAAAACATCAAAAGGGAGATAGTAGAATTCTATAAGTCACTGATGGGCGTTGATGCTCAATCACTTCCTGCTATAGATAAAATGGTTCTGCACAAGGGGCCTAAACTTAATCAACAACAAAGGATTGAATTGTGTAAAGATGTGACTCCAGAAGAAATTTATGAGGGTCTGTGTTCTATTGGTGATGATAAGGCACCTGGTGTTGATGGGTACAATGTATGCTTCTTTAAGAAAGCATGGTCCATTATCAAAGATGAAGTCACTGAAGCTGTACTGGAGTTTTTTACCACTGGAAAATTGTATAGGGCTATAAATTGCACAGCCATCACCTTGGTTCCTAAGGTTTCTAAGCCTAAAACTGTAAAAGAGTTCAGACCTATTGCATGTTGCACTATGCTATACAAAATGATATCCAAGATTCTAGCAGCAAGGATACAAGGCATCATTAGTACAATCATCAATGAAGCTCAAGCAGGGTTTATACCTGGGAGAAAGATTGCAGATAATATACTACTGGCACATGAGTTGGTGAAGGCTTATTCTAGGAAGAACATTTCTCATAGGTGTATGATAAAGATAGACTTACAGAAAGCTTATGATTATGTTGAATGGCCATATATGAGGCAAGTTATGGAATAGTTGGGATTTCCTCAGCTATTCACATCTTGGGTTATGGAATGTATACAGACAGTTAACTATTCTATTATTGTTAATGGTGAGCCAACAAAACCATTCAATGCTGCTAAGGGATTGAGACAGGGTGATCCTATGTCACCTTTTTTGTTTGCCATAGCAATGAAGTACTTAAGTAGGAACCTGGCTAACCTTAAGATGGTGGATGAGTTTAAATATCACCCTAAGTGTGCCAAGCTAGGGATCACTCACCTAAGCTTTGCTGATGACTTGTTGTTATTTGCCAGAGGAGATCTGAAGTTAGTTCAAGTAGTGCAACAAAAATTTTATCAGTTCACTCAGGTTTCTGGGCTCTAAGCAAACCTCAACAAGAGTGAAACATATTTTGGAGGAGTTCCTATAGAAGATAGACAACAAATCCTTCAACTTTTGGGCCTTTCTACTCGAGAACTACCCTTCAAATACCTAGGTGTGCCTCTATCTACTAAGAAACTGAGTGTACTTCAATGGCAGCCCCTCATTGATAAAATGACTGCAAAGATTACTTCATGGACTGCAAAGACCTTGTCATATATAGGAAGAGAACAGATAGTTCAAAGTGTATTATTTGGTATCCAGGCTTTCTGGGCACAATTATTTATACTCCCAACAAAAGTGATCAAGATTGTGGAGGGGATATGTAGATCTTATATATGGTCCGGAGCAAATGAAATCACAAAGAAGGCTCTGCTGGCCTGGGACAGAGTATGTCTACCTAAAGCTGGAGGTGGCCTTAATATTATCAATTTTAAGTTATGGAACAAAGTAGCCATTGCTAAGACCAGCTAGGACTTAGCACATAAGCAAGACAAGCAATGGATCCGATGGATACATACATATTACATTAAAAATCAACAGATGAACACAATGCCAATACCACAACAAGCTTGTTGGATGGTGAGGAAAGTGATTGAGGCAAAGGAGATACTGGAAGCTAGACACTTTGTACAACTTCACAACAGAAGCTTGATCAGACAAATCTACTTGCACTTGCTTGGTGATTACAACAGGGTGGAATGGAAAAGATTGATGTTTAATAATACAGCAAGACCAAAAGCAAAATTCATAATATGGCTTATGATGCATGGAAGATTGATGACATGTGACAGATTGAGCAGCTGGAAGATTATTGTTGATACTCAGTGTGTAATGTGCAGAAAACAAGTGAAAACCAGAGATCATCTATTCGTACAATGTGAATATACTAAGCAGATTTGGAGTAAACTGTGCAACTGGATGCAAAAGCAGTACCTGGGATTTATTGATTGGCACCAGTTCCTACAATGGGTAGTAATGTGCGCTAAAGGAAAATCTCAGCATGCACAGGTCTTTAAAGTGGTCTATGCGGAAGTTGCTTATCAAATTTGGATTGAAAGGAACAAGCGTATTTTTGAACAAAAAAAATAGAGTATGGGAGCAGACTGCAAAGGAAATAGCCTATGTTGTTAGTGTTCGAGTTACTCCTAGAAACAAGTCTTTTGTGTATAGTAGGGGTGTTCATAAAAACCCGAAAAATCGAACCAAACCGACTAAAAAAACGATACTTTTTAGGTTTGGTTTGGTTTTGGTTTTAAATTTTAAAAACCGATCAAATTTGGTTTGGTTTTGGTTTTAATAAAAAAATAACCGAAAAAACTGAACCAAACCGACTATAAAAAGTAGCTATATAAATTTATTATTACACCTATATATATGTTTATTTTTATATAAAGTTTCTGAAATTTTATGGTACATATTAGTCATTTGTATTTTTAGTCTAGTTCTTTGCTATTATAATAATCTAATTCTTTGCCTTCTAGTTTGATAGGTAGTTTTGTTTTGCTAAGTACAAGAATTTATTTTATGCTAAAAATAATCGATTTTTAATTGAGCACTTAAATTATTCATCACTATTTGAGTCGATTATCATCAATATATCTTGTTAAATGATAGATTTCTCAAAGAGCAATTAGTTTGATAGTGCTACATTAAAAATATAGTCGCCGAAATATGCGTTTGGTAGTGTATGTCTATTTAAGAAAAAACCGATAAATAACCGAAAAAATCGAAAAACCAACAAAAACCGAATCGATAAAAAACTGACTTAATTGGTTTGGTTCTAATATTTGAAAAATCGACTTAATTGGTTTGGTTTCTTTTTAGGGAAAAACCGACTCAAACCGAATCATGAACACCCCCTAGTGTATAACTTATGTTTCTAGATAGTAGAGTATGAAATGTCCATAGTATGATAGCAAACTGTGTTTTGTAATTGCTATAGTTTTGTAATTGCTATTTGGTGATTAGTTACCCAAAAAAAAATGAAGGCGAGGATTGCAGTAAGAAGCGTCCGTTTATGAATTGTGCAATCAACAATCGGAAACGGCGACGCATTAGGGGATTCTTATACTTTGTCTATTCTCAATTCTCCGGTTCTCCACTTCTAAACCGACGATGAGTAAACCGGTAAATATCGCCGCAACCGCCACGTCTCAGTCACAGCCACCGTTGGCCACTCAAGTCCAAGCACAAACAGCAAACGATTCGCTGCAGAATTACCTAACCAAACAATCGGAATTTCAGCAACCACCATTACATTCCCAGGATGACTCAATTTCCAATCTCCGCCAAATCTCCGGTGCCCTTTTGGCGGTCCATCGCTGCCTCACTGAGCTACAACAACACGTTGATTCCATCCGGACCTCAATCGACTCTATGCTACCCCCACATACAACTAATACCGCTCCTTTAACCACGTCATCACCACAAGCAGCGGCTTCCCCAGCCCCAGCCGCAGACACAACATCAACCCCAGTCCCAGTCCCTGAATCATCTTGGGAATCCGACCCATCTGAAGAAGAAGAAGAAGAGGAAGAAGTGAGATCCTCTCCTCGTTCAGAGCTGATATCCACTCATCGTTCAGAGCTGGAGAGCCTCTGCGATAAAAAAGTGAAAGTAGAAGACAAAGAAGAGGAAGACGTGAGATGCCCTCCTCGTTCAGAGCTGATATCCACTCATCGTTCAGAGCTGGAGAGCCTCTGCGATAAAAAAGTGAAAGTAGAAGACAAAGAAGAGGAAGACGCGAGATGCCCTCCTCGTTCAGAGCTGATATCCACTCATCATTCAGAGCTGGAGAGCCTCTGCAATAAAGAAGTGATAGAAGAAGACAAAGAAGAGGAAGACGTGAGATTTCCTCCTCGTTCAGAGCTGATATCCACTCATCGTTCAGAGCTGGAGAGCCTCTGCGAAAAAGAAGTGAAAGAAGATAAAGAAGAGGAAGACGTGAGATTTCCTCCTCGTTCAGAGCTGATATCTACTCCTCGTTCAGAGCTGGAGAGCCTCTGCGAAATGATGGATGGTCGCGGTCTGCGGAGGTACATGGTAATGCATCTCTTAGATATAAAAGGACTGCTTGAGCAAGTCCCTAAGGCATTGAGACTCTCCAGCAATCCAGCAAGGCTTGTATTGGAATGTGTCGGCAAGTTTTATACTCAAAAGGGCAAGGCGTTCGTTAAGGGCTCGCAAATGGTCCAGTCAAGGAAGGCTTCTGTATTGGTTTTGCAGTGCTTCTTGTTGATGGGAATCAGCGACGAGATTGAGATAGGGGTGAAGCAAGAGGCGGAGCAGGCAGCTTTAGCATGGAGAAAGAGGTTGATTGCCGAAGCAGGCATACTTAAGGCTGAAGAAATTGATGCCCGGGGTTTGTTGATGCTTGTTGGGTGTTTCGGAATTCCAGGAAGATTTAAAAATGAGGATATCAGGGATTTGATTTGGGTAATTTTCCACGGGCAGGGGAGAATTCGCAAAATTTTATTTTCTGGTAGCCTCAGGAGATCAAATGTCCTCGTGGCAAAGATTCCAGGTCCTTTTTTCATGAATTCAATTTGTCACTAAGCTACGTTTGCATTTCATCACTCGCTACTCTGGTACATGCTTGTTTGGTGACCATTTAACTAGTCTGATTGGACATGATTACCTAGAAGCAACAAATAAATACCTAATGATCTCATTTTCAAAGTTCTTTATTCCACAACATAAATTTCTTACTTTGTATATTTCTTCCTTTTATGTCAGTAGATGGATGTAAAACCTAAAATTAAGATAGGAAAAATGAAATGAAAGAGTGTTACGGAAGTGTCATGTGAGAAAAGGATGTCTAACAAAGTGGAAGACAAGTTCTATAGAAGGGTTGTAAGACCAACAATTTTATATGAGAACGAATGGGCCTTTAAGTACCAACATATCCACAAAAATGAAGAACGTAAAAATGCGGATGTTAAAATGAATATATTAACTCTATAAGATTTGATTAAGTTAGAAATAATCACATCCAACAGATGGTGCAAGTAACGCATAGAGGAGAAAATAAAAGGTCAAAATTGGTGAGTAGATCTCCATGTGCCCGGATGGTAGGTGTAATAATATGATGGCTGAATGTGATAAAATTGGACTTACCAATCATAAACCCCATGGAGGGAAGTTGTCTTAAAGGACCTAAAAACCTACAAAATCAGTGCATATTTGGCTTAGAACATAATAAAATGAGAGGATCCATATGGGTGATACCAACTGATTGAGATTAAGGCTTAGTTTTTGTTGTTGCACTTACAACAGGTGTAGGGATAAATGTATAAATTTGAAAATTCATAGAATTGGAATCCTAATTTGTCGTGGTAGTCAAATTATTTAGTATTGGAATGAAATGAACCTCAATAGCGCGCAATTGACGCAAAGTATTTTCATATAATTGGACCCAAGTACCCAACTAGGTTGAGATTGAGGCATAGTTGATAAAGTTGATTGTTTTATGTAAGTAGTATTTCTTCGATGTACTGAGGTGAGGTTCCCATACATTAGTTAGTGGCAAAAGTATAACATAATGTCTTGGTCGAACTCAGAAAGAAGAGACTCAAAAAAGGACAAACAAGTAAGAAATTCGGTATATATGTATTTTTTGCTTTAATTGTTGATTTGTAAAGTAAAATTGGTTTGCGTGTAAGGATTGCTGACTTTATTCCATGTTTGATCCAACGAGAACAGTAATATAAATTATGGTGGTAATGGGTTAGGGGGCTTCAATTTTTTGATAATTATTAGAAGCCACTAAACCAATTGAGCTAATTGCTACTGCTCTAAATATGAAAGTGAAGAGAAAGCTTGCCAAATTAGGGGAGTTAATGTATTCCTACCCCGGTGGCTTGAAACTTGCTACACCTCTAAAGTACAAGAGCATTTCCTAGCTGGTTCACTATGGTGAAAAGGATGAAGGACCCATTGCTTGCAAAAAATAAAAATTCATATAGGAGTTCTCTCTTTCTTATACAGTTTAGCGAGGGTGGCCAGGAGATAATTATTGAGGATTCACTAACAAGCAGGAGAAGCTCTTGGCTTCTAAGGTGACGAACTTACTCCTTTACACTGATGACCACATCATCATTCCATCAAATCATGACTGAATTTGGTGACCTTCTATCTCGAAGGATGTATTGGATTACTGGTTTCGAAGAGGGTCTAGGCTTTGTGCTTATTTGAGTACTACTTCCCTGGTCCAATTTTTACTGCTTTTCCGTAATGGAGCTGAAACTGATGGTGACGGTGAAATAACTGCTGCTGCTGGCTGTGAAACAGGAACAAACAATGATCTAAAAGCTGGCATGCTGCATGATCTGACAAGTTTTGGAAACATTTCCAGCACAAAAATAAGTGAAGCTGAGGATCAAGTATTATCTAGCTTATCTTGAGAAGATCTGAACAGGAAGTTTGGCTCATGAACTTTTTCATAAACAGAAGACTGATATTTGCACCATTATGCACACTAGCGTACTACCTTAGAACCAAAAGTTGTAATTTAACTCATTGTTGTCTGGATTTCCTACCTTGAACCTTGATGACAAGGTTCTTATTGAGGATGTGAGTATTCTTGTGAAGGAGCAAGTGTACCAAGCTGACTATGATTCCACGACGGATGCCACGGATGAAATGCAAAATAACTTTGTGTGGGACATAGACTGAGCATGTGAAGTTGAGCAAAAGTGTGGGTGAGAAATTAGTTATAAACGTAGCAAAAGGGCTCAGAGCATTTTGGAGGTTGAAGTTGTCAATTGTTTGGCTCTGTTTTCTCATCTCCTTTCATCTATGTTCCTCATCCCCTTCTGGTTACTTATTTCTCTGTTATTTCCAGATTCTCTACTTAGTTGTGATGTGCTAGAAATTGTGTTGTTCCTTTTGTCAGTTGTAATTTAGAGTTCAGTAATCACAATATAAATCAGTGGTTGGTGTTGAGATTTGCATTTTTACACTTTCCAATTTAGGTAAACTGTAAAAGTCATGGACCTCTTTTCAAACCTCATATCTGCTTGGAGGTTACATTCCTTCTTATTTGTTTGTTTTCGTTGTTCGTGATTTCGGAGATGAAGCCTTATTATGTGATTATATCTTTATATGATTCATTTTACAGTTTTTGATACCTTATCTCAAATAATACATTTGACCTTGTCGTAGTTGCTAATTTATCGCTTACTTAACACTATTTTATGTAAATCTATGGCAGATATAATAGAGGGGATGGCGATGCAAAAGATGGAAGTTGACGCTGCTCATATTGCCTATACCTTTGGAATTGAGGACAGAGTTAGCCCTCAGAGATTTTTGACATCATTTTTACTAGAGTCAGAAGAGTCATTGAAGAAAATGGTGGAACAATCACAAGGTTCACTTGCTGCTGTGGTAATTTCTTTCCAGCACTGATAGCCCTCCCTCCCTGATTTCTCTCCTGATCTGCTCAAGTTAACCGTACATTTTGTTATTTTGTACAGGATCAAGCAAAAAGGAAGCACTTGTTTGATCTGAGATCTGTTATCAAATGTTTGGGACATCATGATATTGATCCTTCAGAACTTCTTCCCAGGTGGCAAATCAATGAGAAAATAATGAGCTTGGAGAAAGAAATTACCGTAGGTGAGAACCTTAACAAAAAAGAAATTGCCAGAGGTGCGAAGATGGCACAAAAGAGAAAAATTGATGAAACTGAGTCGTCTAGATGGTTCAGCAACAAAGAACCGAAGCACTCACATGTTTCAAATCCATGGCTACAACAGGAAAGAGTTGATAGTACACCGGGGCAAATAGGGAGTCATACTGGTCAGCTATATGGAAGGCTTGGAAATGCAGCCATGTATGACGGACTGGCCTCCTGCAGCTATACTCATCCTTTGTCCTACTTGTACTGGCCGAGATAGTTTGTCATTACTTTCTACCTTAGTTTCTATTTTTGTTGTATTTCACTAAGGTCTCTTAAGACGTACATAGTCTCAGAAATGTTTGCGTTTCATTAGCTACTGAGAAAACTCTAGCCAATATTCAAGGCTTAGATAATAAGATCTCAAATTTTATTTACTTGTTTATCTCATTCTCCTTAAATACACCAGATACATTTTATGTTTGCTCCCTTCCTCCTTGTTTCTTTATCTCATTTTGCTTTAATCCAAGAGGTCAAAGCTTCAATTCAGTGGTCCTATCAACTGACCCGTAAAATAAACAGAAGGAAAAAAAAGAAGAGATGATGGTGTCTTTGGTATTTAGTTTTCATGAAAGATGTTACATGTGCAGTTGTGGTAAAATAGATTAATTAGAAAACTTATTTGTAGGCCATATTTCGATATTCTGTTAGGCAAAAAGTAACTTATAGCAAATAGTAAATGTGAGAAAGAGATTATAGAAGTGATGTATTAGTACTATTAATTTTGAGAATTAAAATTGACAACAATATGTTTATGTATTCGCCGAAAAATGTAATGCAGAACAATTTTTGGACATATATACAGCCGAATCGTACTGTAATATAGTCCGACCAAGGGCAATATAGTAAACTTACTCTTAGTTTCTCCTCCAGGCTTACAAAAACCTTAAGCAGTGAGAATATAGGGGTTTTTCTTGCTTCGGCTGCAGAAGTGATAGAAAAATGGTGAGGCTAACGGCGGATTTGATTTGGAAAAGTCCTCACTTCTTCAATGCCATTCGCGAACGCGAGTTAGATCTTCGAGGTTTCTTCTTTAAACCCTAGTATTTCTCTTTTAGCTTCGAACTCCAACACATAACTTTTAAAGCGCGCTGTGGTAAAAGCTTAATGTTTAATTTTATAACTTTTTTTTGTGCACAGGAAATAAGATTCCTGTTATTGAGAACTTGGGTGCTACTGAGGTCAGCTTCTTTTGCTTCTTGTTTTACTTAAGATTTATATTTATTGGGAAGAGTTTCAGAAATTGCTTTTTTTGTTTAACAGGATCAATTCGACACAATTGATTTATCTGATAATGAGATTGTTAAACTCGAGAATTTTCCTTATCTTAATCGGCTTGGAACCTTACTAATGAACAACAATAGGATTACGCGTATTAACCCCAACATTGGAGGTGAGATATTAGGCGAATGAAGTGTTTATGTTCCATTCTAAGTGTCATAAATTTGATTTTGTTAGGGTTTTTATTTGATGAGAGATTTGTTTTTGTTTTTTGTGATGTTGCAGAGTTTCTGCCAAAGTTGCACACTTTGATTCTTACCAGCAATAGACTTACAAATCTGGTTGAAATTGATCCGCTTGCGTCTCTACCAAACCTGAAGTTTCTTAGTCTGCTTGACAACAATATCACAAAGAGACCAAATTATCGACTTTATGTCATTCACAAATTGAAGTCCTTGCGTTTGTTGGATTTCAGGAAAGTAAAGCAAAAGGTTAGTTTGCTGGTTCCTTCCGTCTCTTCATTTGAATGATGTAGGAACTCCTAAAATATGTTGATGGTTCAGCTTGTGGTTTTAGGTAAAATTGTCCTGCTGTACTTGTTATTTGGACTTGAAATACGGTGCCATCCTGAATTTCCTCAAACATGCTAGAAAAAGTATAACAATTTATTACGTATAAAAAGAAACAGAGAATGGGTTCCCAATTTTGAAACCATATGCATTTTCTTCTTTTATCCTTGCAAAATGCTCCTTTAATTAAGTGGGGGCTGTTCAGCATGCGGTCTGAACCAGTGTAGTTGCATAAGATAGCGTCAAGTTTGCACACATAGAGAAATGACAGACCTTGTAAATCTGTTTGCTAGAAAATTAAATGGAAATGGAGAAGACAAAGGTTACCCTCCTTGAATAGGCCGAACCCCAAGATAAGGTGCCTAAATGAAAAATACTTTTAGGTTTAGGGTGCTGTCTATTCTTAGTATCTTAATTTTATCCTTTTAAAGAAGTTTTAAGATTATATCTTAAAGCAGAGGACATAGCTGGTATAAATTCTATTACCCGTCGAAAACTTAATAGTATTTGGTTAGAAAAACTCTATTACTTGTCTTGGATTTAACTTGTAGTTGTTTGCTTTATGAGATTGCCAATAAGCATTATTTTATTGAGATATTCTGGGATTAGACACATGAACTCAGACCTTAACATATAATGTTACTACACTCTTTTACTTGTCTATATAAACATACAACTATTATGTATGCTTGCTCATCTCTTTATTCGCTGATGCTCGATGGTTGACTGGTTGTTTCTGGTTTCATGCCAGAATTTCTAGGGTATGTTCGTTAAATCTGTATTAAGTGATGTATGAAATCGAGCTTTTGTACTCCATGCCGTTGAAGCTTGTATTCCATTTGCGTTTATGATTAACCAATCCAAATGTTATATTTTCTCCTTTGGATTGGAGGTGGGTGAGGAAGCACCCAGAATTACTTTAAACAGCTGCATATTGAGCTGTCGGGCTTAATTTTGTTGATATAGGAGCGATTGGAAGCAAGTAATTTATTTGCGTCAGAAGAAGCTGAAGAACAGGCTAAAAAGGAATCTGTGAAGACCTTTGTACCTGGTGAGGTTCCGGCAGCCACCGAGGAAACAAAGGAAGATGAAGCACCTAAACCAGTTGCTCCTACACCTGAGCAAATTATAGCAATTAAGGTACAATATGTCATTTATCACTTACTGTTCCTTAGCAATTCTTCCTCTTTTCGATTGCATTTTAAGGATTAGGATGGTGGAACAGATTGTTTTGACATGTCTATATGTCGAGGGAATTTGTTGTTATGAAATATGGATAGGACCAACCTATTTACTGTCTGTGTAAAAGAGGTCAACTACTTACTATCTGATTTATGTTTTCTGTCTAGCCTTCAGTTGCAAGTGCCAATCATTCCACACACACACACCCCAAAAATAAAAAAATAAAAAAATACAGTACTCCTTTGTACAGCTCTGTGAACAGCACTTTGCCCATATAAAGCTTACAAATCAACTAGTTTCAGCAACACAACCAATCATAAAATGAAATGCTTTTTGAGAACGAACAGTGGTTAACAAAGCAATCTTCACTATATCAGGTCGTAATAGACCAGAACATTAGAAAGAAAACTATATATTGAGTCATAGAAGAACAGTACCTTCTTTGGATTGAGGCTACTTGTTTGAATCTTGTAAGAGAAGTCATCAGACTCTTCCAGTGACTTGTAGGTCAGAGCTCAACTAGTTAGCTCTTTTATTATAATAGGAGCATGTCATGTCCACTGAATTTGTTGTCAACATCAATGGACCGTTGCACAAGAGAGGCTAGAAGGAGTTTATACTTATTGGTCTTGATGCACTAAGCTTTTCTCTTTATTGGTAAAATTTGGTCTAAATATGGGTTTTCATGATTATGGAACCGCACCCAGTAGATTGAAGCATGCCGAATAACTCTCCTCATGGATTTGTGAAGAAGACACCACTCCAAAAGTGAATAGAACAGTCCTTTCCTTCTTGCTAGTTCAATTAATTTATTTCTTTTTGCATGTGCAGGCTGCCATTGTGAATTCCCAAACTCTCGAGGAGGTTGCTAGACTTGAACAGGTGATACATAAAGTTTTGATTTACTAAATTAGTATATTTGTCAACTTTTTCCTTTATGAAGAAGACCTTGCTCATATCCCCTTACTTTTTCTAATATGTTTTGGGAAACTTATGGTGACGTGTAAAATTGTGCAGGCATTGAGGTCTGGCCAGCTTCCTGCAGATCTAAATATTGGTGATTACGATATTGCTGCTAAAAAGGAAGACGCCAAAGAAGACAAGATGGTAACAGATGGCGACGATAAAGCTAACAAGACGGAGGAGGAAAATATACCTGAGCAGAAGACTGACGGTCCTACAGATATGGAGCAGGTGCAAATTATTCTAATATAAAACTTGATGACTGTCTTTCTTTTTTCTTATGTTATACTGCCTCTTGTTTAAGTTTTCTGGGTTATCATCTGGAACTGGTTGGTACTTGCATTAGCTTACAAGAAGAATATCATTTTGGTCAACGTACTGAGTTACTTAACTGTTGCATGCCTAAATTTTGGAACAGTGAGCCAAAGTGGTAAGGTTGCGTACATTTTACCCCTCCGGACCCCACTTGTGGGAAACTACTGGGTTTGTTGTTGTTCTTGAGCCAAAGTTTTGAGAATCACTCATAGCATTACTATACCTTCCCTATTCATTGCGGGTTGGTTATTTGTCAGCACCGGTTTAGCTGTGTTAAATAAATCATCTAGCTTAATGCGTAAATGCATTAGTAGACTTGTCTATTTGTTTATGCCCTTTGACTTTCACAATGTATTCCAGAAAACTGCATTGTACTGTTTAAGTCGCCTAATTTCCTCTGTTTTTTTTTTTTTTTTTTTACTTTTTTCAGGAGTAGACACCCGGAGTTATCATGTGTGAGGTGGAACATTCCGATGCCAGTACCGTGCCTCTAGTCATGCACGGTTGATCTGCAGATTCATTTTTAAGAGATAGGGATTAAATTGTATTCTGCTGTGTACTAAGACCTTTTCTTGCATTTTGATCTTAAAAGACTGAATAGCTGCCAAGTTTATATCTTTAGCTTGAAAGCATCAAGTGAGAAAGCTGAATTAATGTGTCAAAGTTGTATTACTGTCGGTTGGATGAGAGAGAATGTAGAAAAAACAAAAAACAAAAAACAAAAGGTTTGGTTAGTCGTGTCTTTTCTTTGTTCTCTTCTTTCCCTCTGATAAACTAAATGAAAGTTCGTGATGATTAACCAAGCGCATCTTCCGTAGAAAGAATATCCGACAACCAAACCCGTCTTGGTTGAAGCTTTTCATTATTCACATGATTAACTAATTCTATCTTCATAAAAAATAAGGTGAACTATGGTTAGCTTCTTTCTCTTTTTAGCAGATAAATTGTGGGTTAAATACAACGATCATAAAAGTTACACATTGTTGAAAGAATAATCTGCGGCATGTCTTTACATGTATGAATCAGCTATCTAAAACTATACAAAAATTTACTCTCATACAGGGAGCTGCATCGTGCTGTTATACCTTACAATACAAATGTATCAACCAATGAATACACTGGTTTCACCTGTTTG